AAATATAACAGTTAAAGCTAGACTTGAACATGTTAATATTGTAGTGATCGGGAAAACATCCCCTTGGGCTTCGGGTCCACAAAGCAGTAATTCGCGGGAAGAAGATGCTCGAGCTGAACTTACATCTCACCAGAGTAATATGAAAGGAATGAGGGTGGTTTGCTAGTGGCGAGTCCTAGCTGTGAGGGTTAAAACATGTGGAACTAAGGAATGTAGTTCGTCTGAGCAATTTCCATTGACGTAGCGATAGAGCTGTGAAAGGCTTGCGACGTTTCGTCTTTGAGAGATAGGTTGCGTGGTACATAATAATTTGTCACCCGCAAGCACGCGGAGACCCTTTTGGACTCTATCGAGACTGGTAGCTCCTATCCATATATGGCCACGGTACTCCATTTTTGGCCTGATCTGGCTCTAGTAAAGTTAGAGGAGTCAGGTACATGCTGAAGCCACTTGAATGTAACCAGTCAGTTTATCCTTTAGTGAGATGTTAGATCTAGATCGAAAGAGGGATCAGTTGCCAATCTCTGGTCATCTAGAGTTTGGAAGGTGCACACAGATATAGTTGCATCAATAGCATAGATATTCACAAATTATCGGATGTGATCTTAGGCCGATCATTTATGTAAAGTAAAAAGAAGGTTGGTCCCTAGAGTAAGTCTGCGTTGATTTCTAGGGTCTGGAATGACTTACCGTTAAAAAAAAATACCTTCAGAGACCTATCAGTTAGGAAGGACTTTATTACTGAGAAGACTCCTCCAGTAATTTCAAAGCTATGTAGATTGTGCAGTAATCCTTTGTGCCACACCTTGTCGAAGGCCTTTGAAATATCTAATGCTATGGTCCTTGAGATGTATTTGTTGTCTAGCACAACACTGATTCTGTGAGTAGTTCTGACATCAGCAGTAGATCGGGCCGATTGAAATCCGTACTGCTTGTTGCTCACGATGTTGTTCTTATTTAGGTGACGAAAAACCTTCTTGATTATATCTCCCAAAAATTTGTTTATGGCTCTGAAGAGACTATATTGGGAAGGTGATAAGCGCTCACCCTTGAAAACTTGGCATACTCTTGACAAGTTTCACAGACTTAAGAAGGATTTCTCCAAAACAGTTAAATAATTCCGATAAGATCGAGATAGTTCCGGGTTAATATTCTTTAGAACAACCACTGGGATTTTTCTGAGCCAGTGGCTATCTTAAGGTCAAGACTTGATAAACCTTGAGACTTCATCGTCCGTAATAAAAGAACTACTAAGATTGTGATCAGTGAGACGGAGAAAGCCGGGAAGGGGTGTCTTGTTTCCTTTAATGTTGAGGTAGATGCAAAGCTTGAGGCGAAGAGATTTGCCTTATATGACCTTGGGGCCATTTATAATAGTGAACACAGACGCTTTGCTTCCATTCATAATTTGGTTGGTGATCTTTCAGAACTCTCGAGATCCAATTTGTTTGTTTTCAATCTTGGCCTGGACCGCTTGTGTATGACTAAACTTCGCAATTCTCAGAATTTTCTTGCATTGATTGTGAGCAGTTCTAAATGCTGTAAGAGTCAAAGTACAGCGCTACTAGTGATAGATGTTGGATTTACTGTGAGCTATAACTACAGCGCTTACAGCGATGAACCAGGGATGGCGGTTTTTTTTTTTTTTTTTTTTGGCAGGGGGTAGAAAAATCTCCATCCCGAAGGTATCTATTCTGAGAGGAGACCAGCAGTTTTGGTGAAGTTTGAGAGAGAGGCTCTCGCCATGTAAGATCAAAAACTGTCCAATCTGCTTTCATATAGCGAAAAATCGTAATATCCAACGGCAAATCAGGGGATGCTTTGGTTTGGCATCAGTTTGCACATTGACAAGGGAATGGTCTAACGTGCCCAGCGGAGTGAGAGTAAAACTTTTCGAAGCATTTTCCAGGACAGGATGTGAGAAAATGTTAAAGAGGTATATCCTATCGAGGAACGCGGAAGGGTTCTTCCATGATCTGAGTTAGTTCATAGGCGATGGAGAAGTCTCTGCAATATTTGCCGTCTTCATCGGTTTTATAGCTGTGGAATAAACGCTCTTTAAATATTGAAGTGTAAAAAAAAATCAGTAGCACATACGTTGTAGCAGTTTCTATGTGAGCGATGGGTCCTACGTAAAATACATACGGTAGCAGTAATCGACCGGTATTCGTCGTAGTCGCAGGTAATAAGTATAGACCAATAGAATAGCCAATGGCATAGTCTAATGGGCGTCGTCATAGACTTAAACTCTGTCGTATCTACACATCCGTCTGTATTTATGACGGACACCAGCCAATCATATTGCAGTGAGGGGGAACTCATGTGTATGCATATTCCATTATATCACAAAGAGACAACTTAGATCGGCTGGTCATGTTGTGAGAATGGATGAGCATAGGCTTCTAAAGAAGGACAACTACCAAACTCCAAGCGTTCAGTTCGACGTCCACTGTTACGCTACAAAGGCAAACTGAAAGACAACTTGAAACGTCTCAATTTTGATCTGAAAATATGGGAAGCCCAAGCATCAAACCGAAAGGAGTGGTGTCAGACATGTTTCATTAAGTTAAAGGGTTTTAAATACAGTAGACTGAAACACCGTGATCAACTTCATCAAGCTCTGAAGCAGAGACGCCATCAAAATTCTGCTTTAACAAATTTCATCTGTCAGTGTGGCTTTGTCGCCCGCAGCAATCCTGCGCTAGTATCAGACTTGAGAAAGCACAAACGAAATATTTCTTTCCCTTACTTGATAGTGTTATGGGGCCTTACCCATAATAACATAATGGACTATTCCATACGTAATAAATACTGCGCCTCAAGAGGAAGCAAGGAGTTCAGTCCGAAGTCGGGCGACCGGCTGACCGGCTGATCGGTTGAACTCACTGCCTTCGGGCGGGAGGAACCCGAACGAGGCTACGTCGAAGGGCGGAGTCTCTTTCCCCTGAACCCGGACGGGTTCAAAAGGGCCGACCCACGGGCTCGGAGATCCCACGTTAAACCGGCGTTTATACGGGTTCTAAATACTGTTCAGTCTGAAGTCGGGCGACCGGTGATTTTCGGTTGGCCTGAGCCCCAACGAGGCTGCGCCGAAGGGCGGAGTTTCCCCCATATTTTGTATGGGTTTAAACCGGCCTTGGGCCACGGAGATCCTATGAAACCGGCCTCGTGGGTGGGCCCCTCGTGGACTAAATACTGTTCAGTTTGAAGTCTGGAGTCCATGAAGTCCATCAGGAGCGACCGGCAGTCAGTGACCGGAGAGTCTTCAGACAATCGGTTGAACTGGTCGAGACTCTTTTCCCTACTAAACCTGATTGTTCGTACAACACTTTTCTACTTCTCTGTATATATTCCTGTTTGTAATATATCTGTGTTATTTCATATCCGTGTTCGAGTTCTTTTTATTGGTTCTACCTTGGACTATCACCGCGGAATAACGTCATTTAAACAAAAATCAAAAGAATGCATAATAGCGACGTGATCAGCTCATCCGGGTAATATTTTTTTTCTATTAGCCTCAAAACTTCTAAGCCAAGCTTTGATTCGTGAATTTAGTGTCATATTGTGAGTTCAATCTCTTGGTTGTGTAGTATTGGCAAACTCAACTTACGGCCATATAACGGCGAAAAACCGTACGATACCCAAGTTAAACAACCGAGCTTGATCCATACCTATAGGTGATCGCTTGGGAATACCAGGTGCTGTATGCTTGGATGTATGAAATGGTATAATGTATAATGTCTCGAAATTGTTAATCAGAGAGCCGAGTTCCAATTCCTGTTGGGTTCGTTATATTCACTTACGCTCAAATACCCTCGAGGAAGGTATGAATACCATCTTCTCCCCCAGCTTTGGGTTAATTAGTATAACTTGTATCAATATACCATTATTACATCTAAAAATAAAATAAAATTGCGTACAAAATATTTAGATTTCGGCATTAAATAACGCATAGAGGTATTGATATGCCGCTGAATAAGAAATAGCAATGACTGAACAGTATTAAACAAAATGAACAAAGATATCTCTAGATATGAACAGCGGAACGAGAGCGATTGACACGCATAGATTAAATAAAGAATTCAGCTCGAATTTTACCCGGGTAGACAAACACCCTAAAAAGGCCGGGGATATTACAGCCGAAATTTTGTAATAATAGCGACAACGTTTAGAATATTAGTCCCACTGTAAATAATGTAAATGAAAAAAAAAAGTCGTTCAGTTGTATCGTTTTTGTATATTGTTGAAATGGATTTTAATGCATGTTTTTTGTTTGTTTGTTTTTTGTTTGTTTGTTTGTTTGTTTTTTTGTTTTGTTTTTTGTTTTTCACTGTTGTTATTTTCTTGTCCTGGTGTTGAAAAGCAAATTAAAATTCACTGGCCCAGATTTTTTTTTCTAAATTTTGTATTAAAAGGACAGAACGCATCAGACGCGCGCTGTGTTCAGCCACTGTACATCTGGTGGTTGCAAAAGAACATGGTCCATCTGGATGGGAAAATATTCTAGACACACCCAATGGAAAACACAGTTGTAGATTGTGAAAAGTTCATTTACACAAAGCTTAGAATCATGTGCGTGTATGTAAACACACACACACGCGCATATATATATATATATATATATATATATATATATATATATATATATATATATATATATATATATATATAGTATTGAATAAAAGGCAAAGTTATCATGTGCTGCGCTGACACATTACGTTGTAAAATTTTCCAAGTGGCGAATAATTGTGAATTGGGCGTTAAGGGGAATGTAAAAGAGACGCAACCTCATAAAAAACGAGGGAACATTCCCGTCTTTTGCTAATTCTTCCTTTTCTTGTTCACTTTTTCTTTCCCTTTTTAGCCTTTTTGTCTTCGGCGCTTTTCTCTTCCCTTGTATTATAATAAACACACGACAGCGTAACTTGACGTACTCAGATCTTAAATCTTCTCGTGTTTTGATAACTTCTATGGACAGCAGATTTGGTCTAAAGACAGCACTAAATAATGACACAGTGAATTGCGGTAAGAGGGGAAGGGCTGTGGCATCGGGTTCCCCTGCCAGGAATATGCAAGGGAATGTGGTACTGAATAAAAGAAAAAAAAGTGGGCATGTGGGAGTGAAAAATAGTGGACCGATGTGCGGTAAAAGAAAAAAAGAAAGAGAGACGGTAATATGAAAAAAAGAAATTGAAAAGTTCAATGAAGAAGAAGAAAGAAAAAGAAAGAAGGAAGGAATGGAAAAACTGGACTGAAAATAAAGCGTAATGAATAACAAAGAAAGAAAGAAAGAAAGAAAGAAAGAAAGAAAGAAATAAAGAAAGGAAAAAGAAAGAAAGACGGTATTATGAAAAAAGAAATTGAAAATGAAGTTCAATGAGAAAGAAAGAAAAGAATGGAAAAGAAATGAATTGAAAATAAAGCACAATGAAGAAGAAAAAGAAAGGAAAAAGAAAGAATATAGTTAACAAATTGTAAATAAAGGGCAATGAAGAATAAAGAAAAACATAATATGAAAAAAGAACTGTAAAATGCAATGACGAAGAAAGAAAGAAAGAAAGAAAGAAAGAAAGAAAGAATAAGAAAAGAATTGAAAATGAGGAGTAATGAAGAAGGGAAAGAAAGTCACATGAAAAGGAAAAGAAAGAAAGAATGAAAGAAAGAAAAGAAAAAAAGAAAGAAAGAAAGAAAGAAAGAAAGAAAGAAAGAAAAGAGAAAAAAAGCAAAGAAAGAAAGGTGGCCGATGAAAGGAAGAATGAAAGTCAAGAATAAAACCAAATAATAGAAAGAAAGTGATAAATTAACAAAAGAAAAAGTCATGGTAAAGAGATGAAAGTAACCTAAAAAGTTGTTAGAGAGCAAGACTTTGCAAAATGGAAGAAAGAAAATCAGAAAAAAAAATGACAATGGAACAAAAGGAAGAAAAGTAAAGGTGTAGAGATCTTTAAGGAAGTTAACTAAAAACAGTGATTGTAAATTATCAAGTTTAGTATAGTTGGATACAATGCCCTATTTGTGGAGGACCAAAAAGCATTACAAGAGAAATTCGACATTACTAGACATAAAGAATTGGAGGGGGTGTGGAGAGAATAAGAGAAATAAAAGGGAGAAAAGACATGCGTAAAAAAGAAAAAGGTGAAGAGTAAAGCGTAAGGGACAGGATGTAAAAAAATTCCTTTGACCGAAAAGCCCATCCAAAATAAAACCTGATATTTGGTTCTTTGGACAGATTCTAGAAAGTGGAGAGGGCGGACACATATTCAGCGCGCGCACACACACACACACACACACACACACACACACACACACACACACACACACACACAGACAGACACACACACACACACACATATATATATATATATATATATATATATATATATACTTTCATGGCAATTGCTCCGAGGAGCTGCATTCGCTGGTTCCCAGACTTCATGAATTCAAGCGCCCTACGAGGCTGGCATCCCGCTCTCACCCTTTCACTGTTGAAACTATTAAATGTAGCCGTCTCTTCTACTCCAATAGCTTCATGTCTCGCACCTCTCGCCTGTGGAACTCCCTTCCCTATTCCAGTTTCCCTGAGAGCTATAATCTCCAGCTATTCAAGTGTAATGTCAATCGACATCTCCAGTTGCCTTGATCTATCCACTATCCTTCTCCTCATCCTTTCCTCTATCACTTCTATCTGATCTTAATTCAAATTTCTGTAACCCCTTGCGTCCTAGTGGCTTCTCGCCTTGCTTTGGGTGAAACGCTTTAAATATATATATATATATATATATATATATATATATATATATATATATATATATATATATATATATATATATATATATATATATATATAGTGCGATGGGTAAATTAACGTTTGTTTTTTATTTTGTCGACTGCACAGTATAGCAGGGTCATTTGGGCACTGTCTGTTAGAAAAATAGCACCCTGACGCAATTCACTCTAGAAATTTGGAAAAGGCATGGTGTAAAGCTTGGCATTTGCACCGGAAGCTCCAACACGAACATTTCAAGGTGTTTGGGTGTCAATTTGAGGACAGTGCAGAGAATTCGGAAAAAGCTAGATGAGTCTAATGGAGATTACGATGGTGTTTGGAGGGATCACAAGTAATGGCGACGTTATCCCTCCATTCTTCTTCCCACGGGGCCTGACTCCTCACGGAGGCCTACATCAAGTGCATTCAGGAGGTAGTGCTGCCCTGGGTCAAGAGCGTGCCTGCTGAAAGACCCTAGGTCTGGCAACAGGACTTTGCCTCTATTTCTGATTACACAGACAAAAATCCTCACATCCCATTATATATATATATATATATATATATATATATATATATATATATATATATATATATATTTATATATAGTAATCCGTTGGTATAATCCAGGTGAGTCCTATTAACACAACATAGAATTTGAAATATGTTAAAAATGACCCACAAAAGAGCGCTCAATATTTTTAATTTTAAAATTCGCAGGATTTTTCAAACTGTCTATGGCATCAGCTTGTAGTGTACTCTTTATTTGGGGAAAAGAAAGAGAGAGAGAAATGTATGGAGAGATGCAGAAGGCAGCGTTACTGGAATCATATTATCGAGGTAAGAAAGCCTGGTTAGGGGAGAGGGGAAGACCGATGAACTGACATATATCCTAATGGCCATACGGTATCTTAATTCCAATTGTAAAGAAAATCTATCTATCTATCTATCTATCTATCTATCTATCTATCTATCTATCTATCTATCTATCTGTTATATTATTATTATTATTATTATTAATAATAATAATAATAATAATAACGCGTATTGATATACATAACATTATGCAATTTAACCTATGTCAAGGTGAGAAGAATTTTGTCAATAAAAGTGCCCAGTACATACCAGGAGTAATAATTATTATCATGAATTAAAAAGTTAAACAATCTGATCCCGAGGACTTCATATTATTTGATAATAATAACAATAATAATAATTTGTTGTCAGCATCCGCTCGCATCTGGACATCGGGATCGACATCCTCTCCCCCTGTTCGCTTTCTCTCCCCTGAGGTCGATGGCGGAGATGGCTGTGAATTAAAGAGAGTTTGACGAGGACATTTGTGTGGATTTGATTTTGTGGTGAACAACTCTGTGCAACTTACTTGGCCAGAAGCGGCGCCTCCTCGTGGCTCAATAATAATAATAATAATAATAATAATAATAATATATATATATATATATATATATATATATATATATATATATATATATATATATATATATATATATATATATATCGTGAAAGAGAAAAACGATGGCAAAGAGAGGAATCTTCATTTTCCTTTACTTTCCTCTCTCTGTCTTTTCTCTTACTCATTAACTCTTCCCCTCTTTTCTTTTTTTTCCCACTTTCTTTCTTTTATTTATTGGTATTACAATAAAAGTGACTGAGTATCAGTTAGGAGGATGGAAAAAAAATTTCCGGGAAATTTTCCATAGTTTTAAATTTAATAAAACAAAGTCTAAAATATATTTTTTAAAGATACATTTTTTGGATGATTAACCTGACACTCACTGCCAAGATGGATATTATGCAGGTAACATAGATCAAAATGAAGGATTGGTATATTACTAGTATCCAGACATCTAATCGACGTTCCTTTATTTATTTATAACATGAATTTGTGAGTATTTGCGAGTGAACACTGCATCGTTCACTATGAAGAATAAAGTTATGGGCTCAATAATAATAATAATAATAATAATAATAATAATAATGATAATAATAATAATAATAATAATAATAATAATAATAATAATAATAATAATAATAATAATAGTAATAATAATATTGCTTTTAAATGAATCAAACACGTCAAATCATAGCTGATTTATTACACACATAATTAACCAATGCTTAATTCTTAGATTTGCATGATATATATTATTCTTATTGATAACAAGACCACACTTCTTTGTTCTTGTATTGTTTGTGTTTTTTAATCATGTTACACCAAGCAAGGCAATAAAGTCACTAAGACGCAAGAGATTACTGAGTGTTAATGAATATGAAAAAATACTACTACTAAGGAGAGAGGGCAATAAAAAAATAAGAATAAACAAGATAACGACTGATTACTTATGCCTAGTCCCTATACAACCGTCTCTCAAGGAGTATCTTTCTATTTCGCTAGAAAGACAGTTAGAACTGTGAAGTGTTTACACCTACCTAAACAATTACCAAAGAAATGAATTTACACACAGAAAAAAAAGCATTGTGATATATTTCATCTCTGTAGGGAGATATATAAATACTGATATTCAACACTATTTGATTTTTTAAAAAAATCCTTATTCTTTGCATTGCTTGGTAGAACTATATTTCCAACGTTTCAACTCTCTCCTTTATCTGTGAAGAATATGTTTCCCTTTGCTTCTCTTGCTCTCGCTATATTCTCTTAGTATGAAATTCTCCAGACCCTCTTTCCTCATTATGTACCCCATAAATTTCGGCTGTTTCTTTCCGATTGTAATGTATCTTTGTAGTTCTGTTTTCCTTAAAAACCTTCCTTTTTTCACATATTCTTTCCATTGCTTGGTAGAACCATATTTCTAACGTTTCAACTCTAAAGGTAGAATGAAAGAAAATAAGAATCGAAATAAAACAGAAGTAAAGTAGAAAAAGAGAGAAAGAAAATAAAGAAGGACGCCTCCTCCACAAAGAAAGAATATAACAACGTAAAGAAATAAAAGATAGAAAGAAACAAGTAAAATGAATAAAAACAAAGAAAGAAAGAAAAAGAGAAAGAAAGAAAGAAAGAAAGAGAGAAGATAGCAAGGACGTTTAAAGAAAGGAAGAATGAAAGAAATGAAAAATCAAAATAGAGAAAGAAAGAAGATAGTAAATGTAAAACGAAAGAACGCAAATGAAGAGAAAAGATTGCAGTGAAAAATTATTGAATTAAAATGAAAAAAAAAAAGGAAGCTTGACTAATGTAGAAATCTTAAGTTGCCCCGGCTTTCATTTCAAGCGCGACCAAATATAATCATAAACCACGTAAAGGGCTGTTGATCAAAAGTATCGTCCATTGAAATTGACAATGGAAGCCATGTTTATCTACTGACTTGCCATTCTGTTTTCATTTACATTAAGACCGACGCGCGCTCCTTGTCTCTTTTAATCCTGTACCATATTCCCGGCCCCCTGTAAGAGATTTAAAGCATTTGCACAGTAACGTTGTAAATGGATGAAATTGTGGATGCTGAGAATAGAAAAACCTAAATGTCTGATTCAGTTGTTATTTAAGCTTCTTGGCGTTAATCGTCTACGGAGTTACGCGGTCTGCGTAAAATCGACTCCAGCAAACAAATGAATCTAGGAAAGTGTCAAGTGTATTTCTTCCTTTACAATACAGTGGATTTTTTTTTAAATTGAGGTTACAATTGAGGTTAGTAATGTCAAATAGTTATCGTTTACATCTGGGTGCGATAAATTTACTATATAGCTTTTTGACAAAAACAGCACACTGACATGCGTAGTTTACTCGGTTAGACAGTTAAGAAAATTAGCAGTCCTACCTGAATGTTTTTTTGTTTTTTGGTGGACAAGAAAATTAGCAGTCCTACCTGAATGTTTTTTTTTTTGTTTTTTGGTGGACACAATCTTAACAATATAAGAGACAGTGTTGATAGTAGACACGGATAGAAAACTGCAGGTGATCCTAGAGAATTTAATAAAGAAAAGCGGGAAGAAAGAACGGCTCATCAACTGTAAGAAGACAGAAGGTATGGTCGCTAATAGAAAGATCAACCAAAGATGAGACCTACAAATTTCA